GATAAAGCATCTCCTTGTTTTAGACCATTCTGGATAGGAAATTTATCAGACAAATGTTTCCATACAGAGACTTTACTATAAGTTTCGTTTAAACACATTTTAATCAACCTAACTAGTTTCATGGATATCTCAAACTCTTATCAGAATATATATATATGTGTGTGTGTGTGTGTGAATATGTATATTCATTAATAAACTTCATTACAAATAACAAAGAACATTTTGAGATGAATGCAGATGTACACAGTGTTAACACAAGACACAAACAGTGTCTTCATAAACGAATTGCTAACCCCTCATGCTTTCAGAAAAGCGCATATTATGCTGGTATCAACATTTTTAATAACGTGCCATCTGATCTCAAAGGTCTTATGAATGAAAAGGCATGATTTAAAATAGCACTGAAATGATACTTAAATACACATCATTCTACTCTGTTGATGAATACCTATTGTCTAGAAAATAACTTATGTATCTTTAACTAGCCTTGTGTGTAGTCACTGTGTATTCTTGGTTNGGAATGCGAGAGTTGAACGTGCATTCAATATTCCTAGCAAGTGTTGTGCTTTTACACATCGACATTTGTAGCAGCGTCCACGCAGCATATATACTGTGTACAGTTAAACAACGCCAGTGTTTTCTTGTTAGTACCATGTGCCTCTGATGATGGTTTTATTAAAACCGAAACATGTAAGGTAAAAGTGATAAAGAAGTGACCTAAAAAACATTGTTACACTCGACGGACTTTCTATTGACTTTATGAGTGATAGTGTAACGGACCAAAAATGAAGCAATTCAAAATATTATGAGTGATAATACATAAATAAGTGTGATGTGTTCATTGTATCTAAATACTTTTTGTATAATATTTTCTGTTTATGAAGTCAGATGAGCTCCCATAACAGTATTTTTCCAGAAGTTATTACATTCTGAGATGTGATGTTTTTACGGAAGATTGCTGTCTTCTGGGTCATGATACCATGTAGTCTGACAGATTATAATCAGTGTTTTGGAGGAATATGCTGCCTCCATATTCAGGGTAGAAGACTGTTCTTCCTTGTGCATGGAGGCAATAAGTTATTATATTTTCAGAACACAGTTCTCTTAAATCTTGTTCTTTCCAAAGATGTGACTGTGCATTCAGTAAGGTATCTCTGTAAATATTAATTTTTATAACTACAAAATTAATAATTTTCCTTCATGCCAAAAAATTTGATGTTCTTCAAGCTAGTTATTTCTGTCTTTACAGAACCACCACCTCGTATTGACCCATGCAGACCATCCCCTTGTGGCCCAAACAGCCAATGTCGAACATCAGACAGCCATGCAGTGTGTTCGTGTCTCCAAGGCTATGTGGGCACTCCACCATCATGTCGTCCTGAGTGTGTTGTGAGTGCAGAATGCCCTCAGACACGCGCCTGTGTTAATCAGAAGTGTACTGATCCATGCTTGGGCTCATGTGGTCTTGGAGCTCGATGCGAAGTAATCAACCACAGTCCCATCTGCAGCTGTCGTGAAGGCCAGACTGGAGACCCTTTCCAGAGCTGCTTTGACATTCAGCGTAAGTTAGAATTGTGACTGAGTAATTAAAAAGGCGTGTTTTACCTTATATATGTAATTTAAGAATCAACTATTAATTTAGGATGGTTATAATTCATATTACTAATAATGTATTTCAGAACTTTCAGCACATTCTTCAACTTTGAATATCTTTTGTGTACTGTTTTATCATTTCCAGCTCCTCCAAGACTGCCTCCAGTACCTGAGAATCCATGTGTACCAAATCCCTGTGGGCCGAATGCTCAGTGCCAAGTCTCTGGATCATCTCCTGCCTGTTCTTGTCTGGATGGATATATAGGTGCATCGCCAAATTGCAGACCTGAATGTGTCATCAATCCTGACTGTCCAAGTCAACAAGCATGCTTGAACAACAAATGTCGTGATCCTTGCCCGGGCTCATGTGGAACAAATGCACAATGTCAGGTTGTCAGCCATGCTGTGACATGCTTATGTTCACCAGGCTTCACTGGCAATCCCTTCATACAGTGTGTTGCCCAAAAGAGTAATTCTTTAAATATAGGATGGGGTACCCAAAAGAAACCGAACTAATTTTTTTGTGGGCAGAGCTTTTGTAGTACCACGTTTTGCCGCTATGAGCGCATAGAGCTAACATTCCTGAGTCGATAAGCCGACTACCGTTGCTTCAGAAGGTAAGGACTAGTTTCGGCAGAGTTTATAGTGACAACTATTTTGTGTGATCGTCGTTTTTGCAATGGCCCGAACACATGAAAATGTTGAAAAAATTCGTGAAATCATCAAGGAAGATCGACGACGGACCATTGAAGAAATTGTGGAGCTGTCGGGAGTGACTTGGAGCTCAGCGGCCAGATTTGTGGCAGTCGGATGACTGGTTTT